GCGTGGGCAGCCCTGCCCCTCTGGCGGTCTTGACACAGAATTTCAGGGGCTCAACAGGGCCCCGTTCCTCTCAGACACGAGACCTGTGGTTAGAGACACTGCTGCCCAGTGGGAGCTATGGGGACTGAGCGGAGTTGGCACTGGCTCGGTGACAAAACGGAGTTATGATAAAAAAAAAAAACTAAATGGATACACATTTATCTACTGCTCTTCTAATGAGAGAGGAAGGCAGAAAAGGCAATCGAACCAACCGAACAGTCAGCACCTGAGAACTTCATAATAACCGTAACCAGGTCCGTTGAGTCCTTCCATTTTTCTCAGTACTTGAGACTAAGGACCGTTAAAAGGTAGATGGCCACATGCTTAGTTTAAGGCCTTATTTCTGTTATATCCAATTTGAAGCTCAGAGAAGATTAGATTGAAAATAGGATATACAATACAGAAAACTCAAATAAAGCAAGGGAAAAAATAAGAATTATGAATTTCCCATCAACAAATTTACCTTTGTACGACTAATGAATTTTCTGGGCATAGGCATAAATATTTAGTATCCTTGCATACATTATTTAATTCTCTTAAGAACTAATTTTTAAAAATAAAAGTTTAGGAAATATTTGACAGCTTTTCAATTTAAGTTTTAAACTGAGATAATCAGACACTGACAAGATTTGCTATTTTGGTGATTGCTGGATGATGCAGACACCTGTGTAGCTGGAGCTGTAAACGAATTTTTATTAGGTTGATAGAATTGCAATTGGCTGCTGAATTCCAAGCCATTGAAAAGAGCTACTTGACCCACAAGCCACGTAACCCTAAACTTCTCAGTGCAGCTGCCAGAAATCTATTTCCCAAATGGAACAACAGATGCTTTAGAACAATACTGTAATGCAGCAATTTTCAGTTATTCCACAGTGTTTTTCTCTTGCTAAAATTATAAACATAATTGAGAAAATAGTTTTCAGAATTTTCTGAAAGACTATGCTATTTTCAAAGTGAAAAGGAAATAGCCCAGTGATGTTTTTCAGCATTATCTTTAGAAATTACTCTATATGCTAGTTTTTATTTATCTAAAACAGCACATGGCAGAGTGTAACCTCGCCCTCGTTTCTGAACTAACTTAATGACCCCCCAGAGCCTGCAAGACTTCAAAATCTGTCTTTCCATGTGATCATTTCCCACTCACAGTGTGCATTTAGTTCTAAACTTCAGCATTCTAGGAGGGTTAGACAAATGAGTCGATTAAGCCTGATGTGAAAGATGCTTTAAACCTATAAACCTTCGTATATAACAGAAAAAAAAAAGCTCATTTCTTCAAATACCATTGAGAACAAAATAAGTACAGCCAATGCCAAATGAGGTTAACTCCAAAAGAAGCAGAACCTTCGAGGTGAAATCATCTCAGGTTCCTCAAACTGCCCTTGGCAAACGGCTCCCACTCAGTGAGTGATTCCATCGGGATCACAAGTCCTCCATCCCTCCCTTCCTCTGTAGCTATGGCCTCTGGCCCTGGGCCACCTGGACAGTCCTGGCACCCTCACCTACAACTTGTGAGACCCAGACCAGGGAAATTAAACTCTCTCAATCTCAAACAGAACTTCAAAATGCTCGTTACACCTAGCATATACAGTAGTATAGGGTTGCTGTGGATTAAATGCCCTTAGTCAACACGCACGAAGAACTCCAGTGTGCCACACAGGTGGTACGTGCTTCATCGGGGTGGCTACTGTTATATTATTATCCCTTCCCTCTTGGCCACATAGGGTCCAGATCAGTTCCCCGTCTGGCACGGCCCGTCCCCCGCTCCCCTGCAACGTCCCCCCGCTCCCCTGGTCCAAGAACATGTTGGTTTACTGGCTAGTCAGCAAACGCTGCTCACAAGCCCAGAACAAATCAAAACGAACAATAAAAACCTCACGAGATTCAGCCAACGCCTTTCAGCTACTTCTGCACTCTCTCTTTCACACAAAACTGGTTTTTAAAGACCGGTTTGTGCTCACTTCCCCATTTTCTCACCACGGCCTCTCACCTCTGCTGTTTCATTCCTGGAGCTGCCTTCTCAGGAATCACTCCATCACTCCATCACTCCATCACTCCATCACTCCATCACTCATCACTCCATCACTCCATCACTCCATCACTCATCACTCATCACTCCATCACTCCATCACTCATCGCTCCATCACTCATCACTCCATCACTCATCACTCCATCACTCCATCACTCATCACTCATCACTCCATCACTCCATCACTCATCACTCCATCACTTATCGCTCATTGCTCATCACTTCATCACTCCATCACTCCATCGCTCATCGCTCCATGTGTGTGACCGTGTGACCTGCTGGGAGTCAACTGTGTGACCGCGTGACCTGCTGGGGGTCGACCATGTGACCGTGTGACCTGCTGGGGGTCGACCGTGTGACCGTGTGACCTGGCTCCGCTTCCTTGAGCCAGTGACTTGGCTGCCCCAGCTTCAGTGTGGCAGTGTACGTGGGAAACGCACGTCAGGGCACGGGGGACGCGTGTTTGGCGGGCCATGATGATGACGGCGATGAGGAAGAAGCTCTGGGACCTGTTCACGCCCTTCTCATTCCTTATGACTCGTCACAGCTCACACAGACCCGGCCTCTATCGTCTCAAATCTAAGCCCGTGGTTGCAAATATGTAAGTGCCTCAAATTTTCATTAATCTCAATCAAAACCTAGAACAGATACCACTGTACTGCGCTTTTCCCTCTCAGCACACTGAATAAGAGCATAACGAGAATTCAGGAACTGGCCTTATTTGAACCTGATTTCACATAACGCTCTGTAAGCCGTATGGTCAGAAACTAAAATCACTCTCAAGTCTTGATAATGCAGAGTAGGTTATCGGTGACAATGATCACATCTTTGTGTTATTTCCCTAACAGACAACCACTTCGCAGTCACCTGGCCACTGCTCCAGGCATTGGAAACTAAATTTAATTTTGGCCTGGGATAGATGTAAAGATTAAAGCAATTATTAGGAAAGAGATCAGAATCACATAATGTATTAATGTATTATGAAGTCAACACAAGTTATTATCTTCTGCTCTGTATCATCGGTGCCTTTGCAGCCCTGTGAGAAATTCGAGTTGATTGAATGCTGTTACGAGTGTCCATCTAAATATTTACCACATTTGATTAAATGTCTAAGGAACCATGGCTAGTGGAAGCAGATGCCCTGAGAGAGGCATATATACGCATTAACTAGGTGTCTGTAGTTAGCCATTTTCACAGAGGAAGTGGGGAGGATTACCGCCAAGGACTGGAGCTCTTTCGTTTCTTCCTCTGCTGCTGAGGCGTGATATGACAGAACCTGCCGGGCAGAAACAGGGGACAGGTTAGAGAAGAGAGGGCT